GTTTCCCCTTGCCACACCATGCCCAGTGTACTGGTGCCACCATACCCAGTGTACCAGCTCCCCCTGGGCTGGGTGTGCCCATGCCCACCATACCCAGTGTACCAGCACCCACTGTGCTGGGTGTGCCTGTGCCCACCATGCACGGTGTCAATGCCCCTTTCTGCCAGAAAAAGCAAAATCCAAGCTCTGTGTGTGAACCACAGGGAAATGTTTGTAAAGAGGAATCTTGCGTAGATCATACGAAGGCTCCAGATTATTTATTTTTATTTATTTGAGCTGTTTTTAGTGGCAGGAGCAGGGGCTTGGGCTGTGCAGCCCAGCGGGGCGGGCGTAAGGAGTTGAGTAGCGAGGCCCCAGAGGTGCTGGGCAGTGCCCCGTGGGAGTTGGGGATGTCTGTGACCGCGCAGGATCAGCGAGGAGGAAACCATACGTGCGCAGAGGGAGGCAACGTGGCTGCTTTTGCACTGAGAGGCGGCGTGGAGAGCTGTCGTGCTGCCGGTTTGTTAGCAGGAGAACAACTGTGCTGGTCTGCGTTCCTGGAGTCAGTGTTGGTAGTGGTGCTTCTCTCCTAGATAGCGGGTGTAAAAAAGCCAACTATAAAGACCCAGACTCGCTTCTGTTTGAGAAGGTTCAGGCACAAAGATTGGGGGAAAAAATTCACGCTCGCGTTTGCCTTGAGGTATTAATGTGCGGATCCGGGGAGCTCCGGGCACAGCAGCTTCCTTCGCCCTGGGTCACACCCCAGGCTCGTTAACAAAAAATGCCGTGGTGTTATCCTGGCTCTCCAGGTCTGTGTGCGTTTATGGGTGTGGGCGATGGGTGGAAGCTTTACCAAGGTCTGGAGTAGAAATTTAGGAGGGAGTTCCCCTGGTCACCTGCTGAGGAGTTCCACGAGTGCCCCGGGCTGCGGTGTTGCTGTTCGGCAGCAGCCCCTCTTGGCTTGTCTCCGTGGGCGGCTGCTTGTTCCCACCCTGACGCCCCCATTGTCATCCCCGTGCTTCACCAGCTGTTTCCCAGTCAGTGGCTTTGGCCAGGCC